TGTTCTTGTGCAACACGCATCTCCTCGAACCGTTGGTACAACAACTCAAGTTGTACAAAAAGGGCCACAACATCACTGGACTGTGGAGGACCAACCAACTCCTTTAAACGTGCCATCTTTTTCGTCAGATCTGCATTCGTTTTGCCAGCCATAGTTGATCTTTTTGCCAAAACCAACGCTCTGATACCAAACTATCATGAGATAACAACTCATTTTTCTTTCGAGGCTACCTGTGAAGACGTTGCCACTGTAATCAGCCACACACAATCTCAAGAACAGGGACAAAAACTTGCACACAAAGGCACACATGAGTTTACTGGGACAATACTCTCAAATTTTATATATTGAACTCAATACAATTTACAAGAAAACTCAGCAAGAACACTCTCCCTCTACCAGAATGCCCAAGTACCCCTATTTATACAAGGTGACACCTCCATCTACCAAAGGAAAGTTACACACATTCTGCTATTCTATAGTAGTCTTGATCTCTGTGCGACACCTGGCAGGCAGTTCCACCATTCAGTAACTGATGTGGAACTATCCCTCATTAGCATGCATCTGGACCAAAATAAGGCTAGGAATGCCCAAAACTGCTTCCCACAGACTAAGCCTTATTCAGCAACTGCCTTGAATAAGTCTCAGCATCTACAACTACCCATATTCTCCTAGTCACATGCATTGAGTAACTATGTGCCAGTCATGTGCCCACATTCAATAACCAGTTTTGCCTCACGAACCATTGCGCATGTTGCGTTCAACCCATGTCATGCAATCCGAAGCTATGCACTCACATTGCCTTAATTGAGCCTAACATGTGTTGTCATGCTCAGCCAGATGATGTCATGCTACCACAGTCTGCACCCATCTATCGAATCACTTAGCCGCATCACCTTGATTCAATCTCATGGCGTGCCTTGGTGCAAAGTGCCACCAAGACCGCCATTATGCACCTAAGTTAGTTAGGGTGTGGCATCTAGAAAGATCTATGATTCTAAATTCCAATAAAAAAATGGTGCATCAATTGAAATTTCCTAGAGAGAGTTATTGCGATTCTCCCACAGACACTCAGGCTGCATCTTTTGTTTGTACCGACATAAGTTATACACTTGTATCAGTTCAACAGTGATAATATGTACTTATACAGGTTCATTGAAGAATAATAGCCTTTTGCTTTGCACCAATTCATCCCTTCCCTGAAACTACTTGTACCAGTACAAATTCTCCTGCACCGATTCTCACCTGGTTTTCTCCTCCGTAAACACTTCAAACCCTTTTACAATTATTCTTTTCACATCCATCTTCCTCTACACAAATAAAGCAAACAATCCTTGAGGTAAATAGAAGACTCAAAATATAATAAATCAAAGGGAAATAAAATTTACCTATATGATTCTCTTCTCCAACCCACTGAAACTCCAACTGGAAACCTAGGTTTATTGATTGACTTGATTCAAGCTTAAAACAACCCAAAAACTAAAGTATAACCAAGATTTATGGAAGAATTAAAAAGAGAAAGGGTTTCAAACTTTCTCGTATGTGGGACTCTCTATCTTCTTAGGTAGATAATTGATCATCTTTCATTTGGATAATGAGTTGTTTTTATAATAGTAAGTCAAGTCACGAATAATAATCGAACTGGAGGCAAGATAGCTTGGTAAGCAAACAAGCAGTTATGTAGGCGCCAACTCATGGCTTGCCTCCAGTAATGCAATTTCGAGAGGAGTCGATTGTTGGGCACTAGATCTCTTCAGACGAATACCCCTAGAATTGAAGGGGGAACCCTGCATCCATTGACTCAAGTAATTCACCATCAATAGAGGGAAGAGCTTTTACTTTAGGTTAGATTGGGCTCGTCATTCACACAGTTCCCCCATCCATCGATTGATCACAGAAGTCATCAACCTCTTTCACCAAATATCCTAGCTTTGCCCTCCAAAATTGACAATTGAAAGCATTTTCTTCTAAATCTTGATATCAACAAAAATGTCCTATAGAGTATCTGCAGGGGAATCCACTGTAAGCTCAACAACATTTCTAACCAAATAGAAGTAATCTACTCAATCATTTTTATCAGATAATAAGCAAATAGTGTTTAGTTATTGCGCAGTGATGACAACATTTCTCCTCATCGTATAACTTGATGAACCCAAATAAAAAAATATAAGCTCCTCACGTGAGCTATTTGAAATCTGGGATGTGGCTGAGCATATCTCTTCTCTTCTTTATCTTTCTTTGGTGTATCCTTTCTTTCTCTTTTCGATATGAAAAGAAAGTGGTGTTGTGTAGTAAGTCAAAGTAGATGAATTACTCATGGTTTGTTTAATTGGCCATAACGTTCAAACTTCTTTCTTTCCTTTATTAGTTTTAGAAAAGTACTGAAAAAACACGTAAAAATGCTTCTTCTTTTCTTCTCTTCATTCAAACCATTGAGGTTTGTCATGTTGTAACAAAGACACAAATGATGTAGTATACTATTATATAATTATATACATTTATAAATGTAGTAGGCCCATAATGGACTAATTCATGAATTGAATCAAATGAGCCATTTTCACTTAAAAGTAACATTCTTTAAACGTCTAAGAAATAGACTTAAGTGAATCTTCAAATATATGTTTTAAACTCATACTAGCTTAAAAATTTCAGTCCATTAAATATATTCATATTATTTTAAGATTCTTTTATTTTGGGTCAATAACACTTTGCACACTAAAAAATTCTCAAATTTTTAATTTATGTTCTAAAAATAAAAATTCTCACATTGCACCATCAAGATAAAAGATAACATTTCAAGATAATTAACACTGATGATACTTGTTGGAAGATAAGAATTCAAAGATAAGAAAATAATAAAAGCATGACAAAGATATAACATGATTCAATAGTGTACACTCACCTTGATACACCCTACCTACATCCATGGATTAAAAATCTACATCAATGTATTATTTACTGAAAAATTGGTCATTTGCTAACTGATTACATAATACTTAACCCTATTTATAGGGAAAAAATACTATAACCAAAACCTATTCAGATACACCTTGAACTTTATGTTTCCTAATCACATGTCTAATATACATATTCATGGTATATTAAAACTCTTCCAATACATTTTATGTTTCATTCAGGATTCTTACATTGATTACCCAACAAACTTTCGTTCATGGCAATAAGAGTTTGGGTCAAATTCTAATTATCTCCCTTAAACCAAACTCTTCAAATTGGTCATGCCCAAGATCGGACTTAACATTCTTGATTCTGATCCACCAATTTTTTCAAGCATCATGTGCAAACTTGTTCTTCTGAGTTGTCACAATCCACTCTGTCTTTCAAGAACCTGCACCTTAGGTGCCCTCTGTCCGTGTCTTACCTACTCTTGGGAATCTTTCATGGTATAATTACATGGTGTCGTTTGCCCTTTACTTTTTCTTTTCTTTGCAATGTGGAATTTTTCACATGTAATTTTAACAATTGTGTATCAAAAAATAGTATTTTTTTATTTTTTAGTCATGCATTATTACAAAAGAAGGGGGCAACAAGGTTTAAACTTGCGAACTTAAGGTCCAACAGTGGGGGCGGTGGCCATTAGGCCAACCATTAATTTCAAACAACAGTATTTTTCAAAGGTTACATGTTTCATATAACATCTCTTTTATACTCGTACCCAAGGACAGGGGACATGACTCTTCTTTGTTAGAGTTGCCCAATCCCACGCCAGCAGAGCAAAAAAAGACTGAAAGGCCAAATGCTTCAACATTAGACATGATGAATGTGGTTTCTCGTAATGTTTTTTTTAACTGAATGGTTTATCATAGTTGGTTTGATGGAAAAATAAATATAGCACTAAAAATATTCAATCAATGGATGGAATTATTCAATAAGTTATCACTAATGTCAAATTTCTAGTTATATAGATCCATCAAAATTAACTTTCACATGATACATGAGGTTATTATTCATTTTCGATAAAATGGATGAAATTAATTGAAACTCGTCAACTTAATAAATAGAAATAAATTTCAAATCAATTCATCACACAATTAACAATTTCATTATTGATGACACTAGGAATAAATTCATATGATAAACAAGTCCATATCACAAAAAATGGATGGGTTGGCTAATCTAATCTTGGCATAGCAAACTTGATCTGTTAAGATTCAGGTAAGCCAAGGCATGAATCAGTTCAGCAGTTATCAAATCAGCTCAGAAGTATCTAAAGTAGCTTAGTATATACTGGAAAAAAGGATAAAAAAAAAGGAATTACACCATCAAATCTTAACTTGAGCATAACAAATCCATCTCTAGAATGATATGTCATTAATTTCTAGAATGTCACATCATACCTAGGAAAAAGTGTCTCTAAGACTAAATATTTCCTCCAATGTCCTAATAAACTGGGGGACCACACTACCCTAGTGTATAAATAGGCAGACCTTTGTCTTGCCCAAACGATGTGCAATTGTAATCTCAAGAAAGCATTACTTTCTTCTTCCCTAAGTAATACAAATCAGAGAAGCAAGAACGTCTATTATAGTGGACAAGTCTAGCTTTTCAACTTGATGAACCACTAATTTTCTTGTGTTCTTGTTTATTGTTTCTTTACTCACATACACACAACTCATCCACTTCACATAGAGCTCACACAGTTCACCTTGCTCACACTTCTCAGAATGGGTTTCAAGAAAAAAAATAGAAGCAAAAGAAGAGAATAAAGGAACGAGGCTATATTGCAACTAAGTCATGAAGTGAATTCATGGCCTTCTCTCCATCGTTGAGCTTAGTAAAGTCACACAAATTGGCCTTAGAAGGGATGTCCAAAAGTTTCCTAACAGCCAAAGTTGCATTGCCAAAGAGGCGTTCCTTAGTTGGAGTAGGACGATCCCTTGCCACTAAACCAGTAGATTGTTAAACCATCGCATGATGAATCCCAGCCTTGGGGACCCTCTCAGGGGGACTTACACCTCAGTAAGGGTGGCCTTTTCAGACCTTTCTTAGGTTGAAGGGAGGTCAGCAGTAATAACCTCCTTGAAAATTGGTAGTTCAACATCGCGATGAGGGAGCTCGAATGACTTCCCCAAGTGCCTCTGCTTATTAGCTCTAGCCTCCCCAACAAGCCTGGCTTGTCTCTTCTCAGCTAGGGATTTCTTCAACATCTCCTTATTAGGAGCTATTGCAACAAGATCTGAAAAAACAAAGAAAAAGATCAGCAAAGAAAAGGTAAGAGTTCAATAATCAGATGAGAACAAAGTATGTTTACCAAAAATAGTTTTCTCGGTTAGGGTGGCTTCAACTCCTTTAGCCAGGACCACTTTCTCAACTGGGGAACCAAGCTGGTACTTGGCCAAATTCTTGAGTGTTACCAACTCCTTATAAATTTGGTGTCATAAGCCTCAGCTTGGGAAACTCGAGTCAGCTCAATTCGCTCAAAGATAGCTCTTTCCCTAAGACAACAACAAAAATAGGGTAGGTTAGAAAAATAAACACTTCATCAAAGGAAAAAATAGCAGCAAGGCCAACTCACCCATATTTGTAAAGGCTTCGCAAAGTCGAGGAACTCGAAGGGATTCATTAACCTCTCCTCAAATTCCCAAGAATCCCTAGACATGAAGAAGAAGTTATCCTTCCAGCCCTAATGAGAGGAAGGGGGTTCAATGACTAGCTCTGCCGCCTTGGCCTTCCTTGTTAAATAATAGAAGCCCTTGAAGGGAGAGGACTTCATATGGAAGAAATGTAGGAACATAGACATAGTTAGGGAAGATCCTATACCATTTTGAAGCCAAAATATGAGAAGACCCACTAACAAACCCCATCCGTTGGCAGAGACTCAGACGGCATAGGTGAAATGACAAAGGATAGCTCGAATAAAAGGCCGCATTTGTAATCTTAAGTCGACCTTGAAGGCTACCTTAAAGAAGTAGACCTTCTTGTAAATATAAAAAGTTACGACATTCATTCCGAGCATGAACATGAATGACCACGCCATCTACAACCCATATTATACCTTAATGGTCTCAACTCAACCCTCCGTAATTCTACTATACACCATTAGCTCAGTCCAACTTGGGTCTTCAAGGCCACACAAAGCCCCCTTTCCTTTTTTTTTGAGAGACTGGCCCTAAAGAACGAATGAGTGTCACTTTAAAGAAAACCCTGGAAATTTGAGGTCTTCCTGCAAATCAATTTAAAGAAAGGGGGCCAGTCTCTCAAAAAAAAGGAATTAATTTGGGGTGTCAAGGAATTGGGGTATCAATTTGACTTCTTTTTTTTTGAGAGACTTCACCAACCTCTTCTTGACACCCCAATTTGAGGTCTTCCTGCAAATCAATTTAAAGAAAACCACATCTTCAGGCACCATTTCCTTAAGATACTAAGGAGCATCCTCCTCAAGATTTATCATATGAGTAGCATAAGACTCATAGACAAGACCATCTTGACCCTAGGAAAAAGGCAATTAAGCCTAAGGTACAACCCTGGAAGGTTTAAGGAGCAATCTCGATGGCAAGGAGATCTAAGCACCAGTCACGAACGAGAAAAGAAGCTTAATCAATAAAGAAAGAAAAAGAACTATTAAGACTCCAAAGGTATCAAAATTGAAGTACAAGGAAGTAAAGTCCTTGTGATCACCACCAAGGATCAAATCGGTCTAGATTGAAAAAAAAAAGAGAAGAAAATATACTAGGGTTAGGCTGACCAAATGAAGGACACAACAGAGATGCTAGACACTAGTAGACAGAAGCAACGATAGACTCTCTTTGAAACCTTCTCTCTCAAGCACTCTCTAAAACTTTCTATCTCTAGAATCCAAAAAAAATAGAAGACAAATAGGAGATCATAGGAAAAGAGAGAGGAGAGTCTAAATAGCTTTGAAAATTGGCAGTTTCCCAGCACCATACACATTTAATTCACTTGAGCAATTAGCCACGTGTCAGTGTGCGATAAGCACGTCCTAAGATTCAAGATGTAGAAAGTTCACCATACCTACATAGCTGCACAGAAATAGGAAAATGGTCTCATCACGTCTCTTCGGTTATGTGTAAACCTAGGGGCACAATTAGATAAGGGGACCTCCACAACTCACCTCTGCTTCAATAGCTTAGCCTTACTAGTTTCCATGAAGCTCGGCCTCATTTATCTAAGCTTAGCCCCAAACAATGACCAACTAGGATTGTCCATGCTTGAGGCTAAGGGACAACTGATGATACTAAGAATAAATTCATTTGATAAACAAGTCCAAAACACAGATGGATGGGCATAAACCAGCTCAACAGTTATTAAGTAAGCTCAACAATATCTGAAGCAGCTCAGTTTATACTTGAAAAATGATAGAAGAAGAATTACACATCAAATCTTACATTAGGCATGAAGAATCCATCTCTAGAATGCCACGTCACTATCTTCTAGAATGTCATGTTATACTTAGGAAAAAGTGACTCTAACAACCAAATATTTCCTCCAATATCCTAACAAACTAGGGGATCACACCATTATCAATTGAGGACCACACTACCCTAGTGTATAAAACGGTAGGGCCTTGTCTTGCCCAAATAATGTGCAATTGTATTCTCAAGAGAGTATAGTTGTCTTTTTCCCCAAGTAAATACAAACTAGATGAGCAAAAGCCTCCATTACAATGGATTAGCCTAATTCTTTAGCTTGGTGAACTACTTATTTCCTTGTGTTCTTGCTTATTGTTGCTTTTCTCTCACACACAACTCATCCACTTCACACAGAGCTCACCTCGCTCACACTTCTCAGTTTCACACACCAATAAGTATATAATCTTTCGAGTACAACTAAATTTGATCATACCTATGCAAAGTATGAAAAGTTGCACTAGCTTTCATAGTACACCCTCCATAAATAAGGTGCATTATACTTTGTAATCCTAAACTATGATCTTAAGTTACGTTTGTAGGAGGGATTAAGTGTTAGGAATGGAATATACATTCCTTAGTAATGACCATTCATTTTTTTGGTTTGCAGGAATGAAAACCGTTCCTAAGGATAGCCCACAAATAATAGGATTAGGCATTACCAAGTAAACCTTGGTCTTTCTCATTATATCCCCATCGACGAGTGACAACAGACAAAAACCCAATATCTACTCTCCCTTCGCAATCGTCATTGCTCATATTGGATTCCTTCTCTTCCTCTTTCCTCACTTCTCTTCTTCCTCACTAATGACCATGGTAGTCCACCCTTCTACTCATCCCTTCCCAGTCACTTTTTGCTCCATCGTGCCTGCACTACCGAGGTGAGAGGTTTCCTAGTTGGAGAAGTGTTTGTTGGTGTAAAATGCAAAGTAGGCAACTTTGTGGTCATATTTGCTTGGATCGATAGGGGTGGTGAAGTCAAAGAGGCAGACTAAGTTGGTGGCAGTGAAAAAAAGAGGAAAGGTGACTCTGGGCAGCTGTAGGTGATGTGTTTGTTCCAGTATCTAATCAGAAAATCCTTAACAGTAAATGGGGTTGCTTTCATATAGTGTCGGGTATTTCTTCCTAAATTTTGTTTGTAGTTCACAGAACCAACCTCAAATTTTATGATTTGAGATTTTTTTTGCCCTTTTCAAATATGAGTCTACCACCTAAAAACACTTGATTTTATTTCTTAGATTTGTTGTTTTTTCTAATTCTATATTTGGAACTAGCTCTTTATGCATATGAGACTACTATTACATGTAATTGGGGAAACAATTTGCAATATTAACTAGGTGTTTGTCAAAATGCAGGAGAAAAATAATAGTATTTTTGTAGATCAACTGTTTGTCAAAATGTATGAGAAAAATAAAAAGAAAAAATTGTAAAAAAGTACACCATAAACTACTTATTTGTGAGAAAATACCTTAATATAAATCTTTTGTATATAAGTCATTTTTTGTATAAATATTTTGTGAACAAATACACTTTAGCTTTTTGTAAATATTTTATTTACATAAAAGCCCTATTTCCTTTATTCGTAGAAGATAAGTTAGGTAGTTAATTATGAGATTCAATTTTCTATTTTATTGGGACAATTTTTATTTTTTTTTGATTCTATTTTAATAGCTAAGTGGTTTCCTAAATTAAGGGATAATTAACCGTTTGAATATTGAACGGATTCCATTAGTTTTAAAAAGATTTTCTATTCTCTTTTTATATCTGACTTTCACCGTTAATATCTCTCTATTTTATCTCTCTTTTCTCTGTCTCTCCCTCTATTTTCTCTCTCTCCCCTTTATTCTCTCTCTCTATTTATGCAATGTTACATTTAAGTCACATTGTGTGATACCCACATTGTGCAAAACACTGCATATGATATTTGTTTTGTAGTGTGACATTAGAGTCACATTTTTTATGCCCACACCATGAAAAAACAATGCATATGATGTGTAGTTGTATTGTGACATTGGATTCACATTGTGATACTCATCATGTGTTTTTGAATCTTTATGTGAGTCACAGTGTGATACCATCTATATGCAAACCCTGTATATGGTGTCTATATGTCGTGTGACATTAATGCCACATTTGTGATGTCCACAGTGTGACCCCCAAGCAAGGTGACATTGGTGTCACAGTATATGTCACAATTTTTTGTCGCAAAATATTTATATATAGAGAAGAAAATAGTCCTTATCGTATAAAGTATTTAAAATTAAAGAATTTTGATTTTGCGTTAACTTTATTTTGGTCACAATTATATACATACACACACATATATATATATGTGTGTGTGAGAGAGAGAGAAAGAGAGAGAGAGAGATAACAAAATAGTTCTAATATACAAAAATTCTAAAATTTTAGAATTTTAGAAAGAATTGGGAAAATTTTTAAATTAAGAAATTTAAAATTTATTTAAGTTTTGAATTTAGTTGTGTATATGTGTATATACATATATATGAGATATAAAGAGAGAGAAAAAGAAATAGTTCTAATATAAGAAAACTCTAAAATGGTTTTTTCAATAGTGATGTAATGATGATTAGAGGTACTTCGATCCTTCTGCTCCAAAGTGTAGTTTTTTGTCAAATATTTTTTAAGTTTGTATTTAAAGTCAAATAAGTTATAAAAAGTGCACCAACTTTTAAAAAAACCCAAATAAAAAAGTGTTTGTTGGAATGAAGACAGCAAGGGTCCTTGCCTTGCGCCATTTTCATGTGGTTATGGAGTGAGAAATATGCATGCTGGAAGGAAAGTCAAAGATAAACTACAACTCCTCGGGTCTTCCCCTAAACTTCCTCATGTAATAAACTGTACGAAAGCACTCTAAATTGGTTGGTTGTATACAGTCTTTTTTTCTTAATTGGATCAACAATATCAAAAGCATCTTAACATGTCTTCACCAAAGCATAATTGTAAGGACTAAGGAGTGAACTATGTCTTTGTATCAGCTAGTAACAATGCAGGGTTTATGGTTCCTCAATTCATGTTTTCCCAAGACAACATAGAACTGTACTTTGCAAGGAACCACCTAGGTATGCTTTACAAAGTTCCTTAATTTATGTTGTTATATTTGTCTACTTGTGGATGCAAGAAGATTCTTGATGAGGAGTGAAGTTAATGTCTTTCACAACTTTAAAGAAGTCATTAACAACGGTTCTCCATTCTAGTAAATCTTTTGTGGTAATTAGAAAGTATGGTCTTGAAGTTAATCAATCGTAATGTTTGGTTTTGTGGTTGTGGATCTTTGTCCCCAACGCCCAGGTGGTAGATGTAGGGTTTGTTCCTTGAGCGACATGTGTAACCAAGGTATTTATGATGACTACTCACGATTGCTAATATGCAATTTTAAATGATTTTTGAGAGAAGTTTGGATGCATAATCATAGAGAAAGATCTTTTTTGGGGAGGTATTATATTTGGGAAGGTAGACCGAATATAATTCTTTTAAATTGGATGGAAACTACAAGTGACAAAGTTAGTGGTGCATGATAAGAGTTTTTTTATTATTATGGATGTTCATGTAAATCAAATTATTTATGTTGATTCCATATATGAAAGTTTAATTTATATCAATTATTTATTAAAATTTAGAGTGGAATAAATTTATGGTTTTTTTTAGGTATTTTATTTTTTTGGTATGATTTTATGTATTATACGTTTCATTGAATTCGTAAAAGTTAATAAATAGAAATCTAACTTTGAAAAAAAAAATAACGCTTTTCTTAAAAAAATATTTCCTCGTAAAAGTTAGTCTTATACTAAGTAAAAATAATTTACCTGAAAAAATATTTTTTTCTCATTTATTTCTTGATATTTTTGCCAACGAACTAAAATAGGAACGTGGGTATTGTACATTTCCAATAAGAATTATGTTATTCAAACGTTGGAATGAAATGTGTGTTCCATTCGAGGACTTGATCCCAAGTAAATTGTCA